ATTTTATGTTCGATTAAATCAAAATGATGCTGTATTTGAAACTGTATGTTAGCGCCGCTTTTATGTACTGTAGGACTAGCTTCCGCACGTGACTATCTCTCTCTCTCTCTTCAAAAATAAGTAGACTTAGTCAATTTATTTTATTAAGCATTTTTCTGAAAGAAAATGAAGATTTTTTTTATAACTATCCTTTTTTTTAGCTCTGGCATGGGGCTACAGCCTTCTTCTTAATCTTGGATCGTTGTTCTGCAAGACATTTCAGGTCAGGCAGTAAATACCGTGTTATATAGAAACTAGGCAAATAATGAATCTATGTTAGTAAAATGAGTAATCTCTCCAGAAAAAAAACAAAGATATTTTATTCACACCTGATGTTTCGGCTTACACCTTTCTCAGGGATTACAGCATCACATACAAATACAAACTGACAAACGAAAAGAACACGTACAACAATTAAAAACTGACGTAACTAACTTTGGTAATTTCTGGAGTTAAGTCTTTTTCATTCACTAGTAAACAGAGGCATTGCTATGTACTTAACAGATTCAGGACTCGGGCCCATAGTCCCCCGCCCCCCCCCCCAAAAAAATACAGTGATGTACGAATGATGTATTGAACTGCACTAGTAAGATGACACAAGCTATACAGTAGTTTAAGGGAACTTAAACAGTCACATAGTAACTGTAAACACTAAATGATCCTACAAAAACACATAATTGGACATAATACTGTTGCGTCAGCGAGGTCACGTGACTAGTATCACGCTACGTCCTTCTAGAAATATCCTGTTCCTTCATGAATGCTCTAGCGTTTACTAGATATGTGATAGTCTAGCATATATAAGACGGTCACAAAGTGACGGTAACAATATGTGTGTAATTGAACTGCGGAGGTAATGAGTAAGAATATTGTTGAGCATGTGAGAAGTTCGTTGTGAGTTATAGCGTTTGTTATAGAGCGACTGTTGAAATTAAGTGTATCATAAAGTTGTATTCGGAAAGAATAAACCATTTTTATTTAAGAAAGGACTTACTTGTGTCGCTAAAGTTTTGTCGGAACGAATTTACGGAAAATTAACTAACGAACGGAAACGTAACAATACTTTAAAATATTAAACTTTGTTTTCGTATATATAACATAATATGAAATGTTTACTTTGAAATTATTCGGGAAGCGTCAGAGCATACCTCTTGTTTTGTCTTTTAACAAAGTAATCAATTATGACATCCTCAAACACAGATTCTATCACACTTTTATCATTTGAAAACACTGTAAGGTACTGTAGTTTGTCCAATTTTGCTTCTCAGCCAGGTGTGTAAATGTCGTAAAACACCGAATTATATTTCACAGCTACAGCAACTTGTTCTACTTTTGTTAAGGTCTACGTTTTTCTTTTGCAAACATGATCTCAATCCTCCAGATTGCTCTGCAAAATTTAAAAACTGGTGACCTATAGTGAATCGTTAAAGGGTTTGAATAAACACGTGTTCCACATACACGCATTCTACGTGGAGCAATGTTAACAAAAGTATTGTTTGAGAGAAAAAAAAACACATTGTTGAACCATTTTTCCTTAAATAGTTAACATTTTTAAGGAAATGGAAAACCTTTTTGTAAGAATAATACCGCCTTACCTTTTTACTCTACACCAAGCCAACTGATGGAATTACCGAAAAACGTATTTAAAAAAAAATTCCTAAAAATTTTTTATTCAACAAAAATGTTCTCTAGATGTGTTTTACTAATCGTATCTACTCCTTGTTCAATTTTATCTCAACCTTATCTTAGTGAAAGAAATATTTCACTGGATTATTATTTTGTAAATTCATTACATTTAGTATTTGCATATTTAGTTTCCAAATTACAATTTGATTTGCTCGAACTACAAGTTTTCTATTTTCTTATGGATAATATTATTTACGTAACAAGCTAAACAATATTTTTGTTAAAGTACTTCACGTAAAACGTGTACAATTAGAACCTTTGTGTATTCTAACCCTTCAACGATTCGTTTAAGTCTAGTTTCTAATGTAACACTGCATTTACTGCCTGAAGGAGGACGTCTGCCCGAAACATCGCACAAAATAAACCAATAAAGTTTTATTTATGTGTTAATTTATCCATTATTACCTTTTATCCTAATTGCCACAGACAGCGGGTATTTGCAACTAGCATACTGAATTTGACATTAGTAAAATAAATCACTACAAAAAATACAAAAGAAAAGCAAATAAATTGTATACAATTCACTAGTATTTTGTATTTGCCTTAAACAGAGCATTAAGCTTTATTTTTGTGCTACCATAAGTTTATCAATGTGTGATTGCGGATAGTGTTCCAAATGTCCTGCATTACTTCCAGTAACTCAACCAAAGTTGTCGTACAGATCAAAATAGTAACAGAAAAAACAGACAGAATATGTATTGCGGAATCAAATATAAAAGTTTGACTTTACTGAGTTGAAGAAAAGAAACTGAACACAATTTTAAACAAAGTAAAACCAATCTTCGTATTGTTTTTGTTTTTTCACAACAAAAATCATATAAAAGATAAACGCGTGCACAGAACGTTGGGCTGCACTTCTGGATATTCTGAAGTCACTCCCTAGGGAATATTTCTCTGGCGCTTTATAGATTCTGTTCTGGACTGAGAGAGCAGGACATTATATACAGGGAAACAGTAATCACTTTTCCCAGAGTGCAGGGGCTACCCACGTTACTGGTTGTTCCAAGTTAAAGTAGGGAGAGTTTAATCTCCAGATGTTTCCAAACTTGAAATGTTACTAGAGAAAGTAGATACAATATATGTAAATATAACCCCACCAACACGGGTTTTGACTGTGTATAACTAGAACATTAAGTAAGGCAAGTACTACAAAAGGCCGATTTTCTATATGTGCAAGTCTAAACATTTGTTTATCCGAATTTCTGACAAATTTTGGTAAACGAAATAATTTAACTTTCTGAAGGAAAAGAGAAGATAACATATGATATCTCTAGGTACCATACATGCCAATTCATATTTGCAAGGTTCCATCAGCCTCTTTTTACTTCCAAGTATCGTTACACCTTACTTGCCACATGCTTGTGGTCTACTGTTTTACTGGAAACTGAATCCCTGCTCAACAGATCAAGTTTATGAGGGAATGACTTGACGGATAAGAATGTACCTTCCAGCAATCAGGATGCCATACATTTCATGTGGGTTTCCAACACCTGTGACTGAAATGCATCCAATCAAAGAAGCTATCGTTGATTGTTGCTAAACAATTTGAGCTTAGAGTCAATTGTAAGTAGTACCCACTTCCAGGTGTGCTCATATGTTGTTAGAAGTCTGTTACCCATTTCATCAATATGACTTTTCAAGAGTTTTGGTTTTGTACCTCGACCGCTTCGATCACCAACAGTACTAGTTTCACATACTCTGTCCAGAGTAGACAGTTTTAACTTATCAACAAATACAAATGAATCTCACCACTTCAATTTAAACATTAGTGTTATTTATCATTTTCCTTCAAGGTTTTAATAAAATAGATGATTTTAATTTAAAAGTTATAAATTTACTGTTTCCAGACACAAACATTCCAAAGAAAATTTGCTATAACGTTTACCTATCACAACTCATTAGATTTACTAACATTTGTTGTAATTTGGAAGATTTTACAGAGAGAACTCGAAAAGTAACACAAATTATTGAGTAGGGTTTTTCTTTCAACAGATTACATACGATATTTTTTATTTTGTGATATTTATAATTAAATATATAAAATTGACAATTTCGTCATTTTCATACAATCTTTAATAAAAATATTATGAAAAATAAAACTATTTTATAAATTAACGTAATAGGTACGGCTATGCATAACGTTGTCTTCCATAATCTAACACAAACCTAAGCATTCCACATCATACGTTACATTTGTAAAAAACACTAAAATATGTTTGTAGAGAAATATTCATTCAAACACTACATCAAACAATGACACCTGCCGGGCAAACTTGCAACAAATAAATACAAAAATTTACCATAACGGATGAAGTAATATTTTGTTTTTATTTTTATGTTTAACAAAATTACGAAACATCACGTTTGACTGCTGGTGATTTTCTTTCGAATTTTTTCAGTTACGAATTTTAGAGTATACTGGTCTATAAAAGTTAAACTTAATATATATATATATATATATAGATAG